AAGCTTGCCAGCCTTAAAACGGGCAGGCCAGCCATCTCCTGGCTGAGAAACTGAGAGTAAAGGTTATTTCAGCAGCTTACTGGTGATTTAATATTTCTTCTGAAGTGCCAAAGAGATCAAAATCAAAGGCTAGTTTAAAAATTTTTTTAACCCCCTTCTTAGATTACCAGAAAATCCAGGTTCAGTTCTGGTGGGAAATGGGAACAGTCCGTCCCTGTGGCAGCCGCTGCACAGCCCCCGGGTCACGCCTCCGCGTTAGGAGTAAAAAAAGCAACACCGTGATGCTGAGAGGGCTTTGGGTTCAACTTTTGGGAGGCTCTACGTGACCCGGACAGTGTCACAGAGCACTGGGAGAATGGATCTGCGTTGCAGGGACCGGCTGCAGCTCCTGCCTAATGAAAGTCAGGCAAGATACTGCAAGAGAGTGCCTTGTGCTGCTTGGGGACAGGGAGAGCTATTGCAGGGCCTGATCCTGCCCAGTGGCCTGTCCTCCTGGCTGCCATCGGATTAGTGATGGTGAAGGTCCTCGGTACTGCCCATAGCCCTCCAAAGTCCCAACCAGATGCCCATCAGTCGACTGTCAGGATCTCAAGATCAAGCCGGCAGGGGATGGAGGTGTTCTGGAGGTAGAAAGCACACTTCATCTTGCTTAAACGTGGATCTTAACAAAATTATGGGTGGAGGTCACGAGGCAGGGCCAGAAGTGGAAATTTTAAACAACGGGGGATTGATCTCTTCCATCCTTGTTTTCTGAGCTTAGCTTCACAATTCAGTTTCTTACTTAAGCAGAGATGTATCATCAAGTCTTCCTGCAGTGATGGAGAAGGCAAGCTCTAGTGCTGTTTGTTGGCCTATGGGCAGAGAAAAGAGATGAAGTTTCGAAGTTTCTTCTGAGCTAAAGCTCTAAAATATGCTTGTAAGGAAGCTGGAAATTCCCTTCCCAACACATTTTTTTTTTTTTTTTTTTTTTTTTTTTTTCCTGTGAGAGGGGAAGCTTTTTTTTTTCCCTCTGACCTTGCCAGGACATGGACTGCATGTTGTGTGATTGACTCAGGACCACTTTATTTCCCACAGACTCTGCTTGAACGTGTAATGCACTTCCAGGTCCTGGGTAACAGTGTAAAGTTTAACCCAGGATCACTCTGTTTAGCTATGCTAGGGGCTCGTAATCCCAGTGGGTCAAAATGTTTAGAGTTAAAGAGGTCACAGGCATTTCTGAGGGAGTATTTAAACTCCTTCTGTCAAACCTCTTGCATAGAAGAGATTTGTAGACTCTGCCAGCAGTACACTAAATCACTGTTTTCTTGTCTTCAGTGTAGTAGCATACATTGTTTTCATGTTGCCCTAAGAGAATAATTAATCCATGGCAAATTTATGTCTACGAAAGTTATAAATACTAGATTAAAAAAAAAAAAAAAACACAACAGTAAAGAAATTTAAGGAAACACATGTTGATGAGAGCCACATCAAGAAGGCTCTTGGCAAAGCCATTGGAATGCATTAGGGGCTTGATCTTCTCAGAAAGCTGTCTAAAGGACTTGAAACCTGCTTCATATTCAGATTAGTTGTGCACAAAAAAAAAAAAAAAAAAAAAAAAACCAAAAAAAAAAAACACTTGCAGACTTTGCACAGCTTTTTCTCAGAGTCTAAACAGCAAGTTTGAAAATGAGGAAGTTTGGTATTGCAATTTTCCAGGAAACCCCAGTGTTGCTCCCTGATGCTATTGTTCCATACTTCAGTATATAATATAGATGAAAGTCTGATAAATTAAGGGCTTCACACATTGTTTTCTTTCCATTTACAGGAGAAAAAGCAGGGCAGGAACAGAAGAGACACCCGCTGCGAGACGGAGACTGCTTCAATTTCTCTAGTTGTTTTGAAGGTGAACCTACTGCCAATGTTTGACAAGGGAGAGGCTGTGGCTGAAGCAATGTCAGCTCTCGGACACGATAAGCATTGCTCAAATGCCCGTCTTTGAAATACCCAAGCTGAGAGGGCTTCTCTGTTCCCTACCTTTTTGATAAAGCAAGTATTTCCATTGACTGAATGTAGGTCTAGTACGAAGAAACAGAATGAAGATGGCACCAGGGAGGGTGGGATAGTCCTTACTGGAGCACGCATCTCTGTGAACAGAGTGCCGAAACTCAGCTTCCTGCTGACCTTGACGTTCCCCACTGCAATAATGCACAGGCCACTCATCTGCAAAACACCCCGCATCCACTAAAATAGCTAAGACGCCCATCTCCCCATCTCCAACCCTTTCTCCCTCCTCCTGCTATTCCCCAAGGCACCTCCCATACCTCCACCCCCCCCCCCCCCACCGCAGCAGCCTCTCCTTCCCCCATGCCCCCAGCCTGTCCCGGTGTGACAGCAGAGCAGGAGGCAGCAAAAGCTTGCCTGGATTTCAGGTGAGCCTAGCGACTGCTGCCTAATGGGGTGAATGGCAGACGTGTTTCCTGGTGCTAAAAGGAGGCCTGTCCCCTGCCCACATTGTGGCTACTACAGGGACAAAATCGGGTGGTGGACTGAAAGGTGATGGGGGGCAGCCAGCGAGCCCCAACCCTCACCCCCCCTGACAGTTTGTGCGTTGGCAAGTCTCTCTCAGAACACTCAGTGCGAGCAAAACAGCTTTTAAAATAACAAAGGCAACTTTCACTACAAGCAATTTTCTCAAGCAGATAATTGGAAACAGGGGGGAAGAAAAAATGAGGTGGCTAGTTTGGGGGGGTTAAGTTTTTAATTCTGGCAGAGGAACAACAGACAGGCTTTCAGTATGAAGCAGCATGATAGTACTAACCTTGGTACTCACATTCCTCGATTTCTTTAACATCTAAATAAATTAGGCACACTCCCAGGACCTTCACCAATCATATAAAAGGAAAATGTTTACTGAGGTGATAACCAACCCTGATATCTCCCACCAGGTAGGACTGGCCAAAAGAGAAGAGGGAATAGAAAAGTCAGAGCCACAGAACTGTTGAGATTGTAAAGGACCTCTGGAAGTACTCTGAAATGCCAAAATACTACAGCTAAAACTGAACACAACATAAATGCTTGGCTGACTCAGGCTCAAGACTGTTGCTTCCCAAATGCACAGCAGTGTGTGCAATTCTGTTTGCTGTGTATTTTGGTAGCAAGACTAGTGCTGATGTGGCTATTGCAGAAGGAGTGAGAAGGGTAAAATCATCATCCTAGTTTAACACTAAGCGCGAGACATGCAGCACACTGCTCAGCTCCAGTACGTACCTTGCAGGGACTAGCAAACGCAACAAGAGAGACAAAAGCCAGAGAAATCTGAAACCTAATTGTGGGGAGCTCCACCACCTCTTCATTATCAGCAGTTTCCAGACTGAGTCTTTGTCTGCCTGCCTTTGTAACCCCCTTCCCACCCACACACATTCCTTTCCAGCAATGCTGCTTTATTTGGCTTATCATTATATTTTTTTTTAAACCCACTTAATTGGTGCATTTAACTCTTTAGGTTCCTTAATAGTCCCTCTGATATCAGTGGTTTACTGAAAAAGCAGTCATAGCCTTAAGTATTACATTTCAAAACGGCATCTAAATTGAGAAAGGTCTTGACAGTCCCAGTGTTGAGCTGTGCTAGCTCCATTAACTCACATTCACTTCATAAAACACTAGGCATGATAAGGCAAGCTGGACTTTATGAGCTGTGAAAGTGTCCAAGTCAAAGTCTGCACACAACCAGGGTATTTCCAAAAATCCAAAGTCTATTTTTTCATAAGCTTCTTTAAGACAACAAAGCTGCATCCCCCTGCAATGAACTATAGGGCTTTTATTGCCTGTTGCAAATCAGAAGGGATCCTCACTCTGCTGCTCAAAGCATGATGAGTTTAGTTTACCACATACGCTATACTTGGTCTAAGTTTCCACAGCCAGATCTATCACAAATCTAAGGAAGAAAATCCCAAACGGTAGAGGTGTCAGCAAAACCTCTAATGCTGATATAAATACATCAGAAAAAAAAAAAAATTCTTTTAACAATTTGGTTTTATTCAGGGAACAGCTGCAAGCTTTACACACGCAAAAAATCACCAACCGCAGGGCACCATCAGCTGCATCCACACTGGGAACTTTGTCAGTATAAATACACACACCCCACACCCCCCGCTTTTCATAGGGTAGCCAAAGTCTGCCCAGACAGTGTCAAAGGCAGCATGCAGCCTTGCTACAGAACGGCGAGGCTTTCTCCTCCTCAGTGTTTTTGTTGGGGGATTGGGGACAGGGGGAGATTGTCTTTTAAGGGTTTTGATTCACAAGAATTACTTTACTACAGAAAAGGAACTAGTAGACTGAGCTGGTAAAGCACCTTTCACTGCCGGGTGTAGTACTCCAGGTAAAGCTGGGCTCAGTACCCATATGCCAAGGCATCAGCAAAAGTGCAAAAGGCTAGCCCAGGCAGAAGCAGGACAGTGCAAGGGCATAACCGCCTACATACCCTCTGCCCCGGGCTCTGCTGGTCAGAGCACAGCACTACCAACAGCTCGCAGAAACCTGTCACACAGATAAAACCAAAAAGCAGAGGCTTTGCTTTATTCTCAAACCCATTTGTAACTTCTAGACGGGAACAGTAAAGCCCCTCTGAAGACAGGGTGTGGGAGGGAAATCACACAAAACCCCAAACAAAACAGCAAAAACTCCTGCAACGCCACATGTTCTTAATCCAGAAGAGTGTTTTTCTGTGACGCCATGCTCTGAGCAAGGTGTCTCCCACGAGGCTTTGGCAGAGAAGAGGCTCCACGGCCTTCTCCTGCTGACAGTAGCAAGGCCCTGCTTCTGTTGGTGAAAACAGCACGTTTCTGACATGGCAACAACAGGGGTTAAATTCCTAGCATGAACCAGGCGAGTTGTAGTTTTAACACGTTAACATGTTCTACCAGGGGAAAAGCTGAAGTATTTTTAGCATGGCCTGAGTGTTCGTCTCTGCACTGTTCTGGCCTTTTTTGGAATTTTTAACTCTGGAAATAAATACAATACCCTTTGCAATAGTGAAACACCACCTATTTTCTTTTATTGTTTGCCACAAAGATGACTGCGAGTTGTACTTCCAAAGACATTAAAGGAGAAACATAAACCAGATACTTTTGACACAGCTTTCCAACCCTTCACAACACCAGACAGTTCACTTACCATTTCCCTAATTCCTGCCCGTGCCCCCAAGCCTTTCCTACTTACATGCTTAGCTCTGCTGACAATCTCAGTGGGGAAAACATTTTTCTTCATTTTGAAATTCAATCCCGAGTCGCTGCTTGAAGGTGTTGCCCCTCGTGCTCTCCTGTTTGAACTGGCGCGTGAACGCGGTAACAGGGGTCAACGAAATACACTTGCAATCTGCATCACATGCCACTGCCCTCCAGTCCTGCCCCTCACGCAGCCACGCAGTTTTATTTCCAGGATAGGTCAGGGAGAAGCACCTGATGACAATATGTTTGTTTCTATCACATTAAAATCCCACAGCTGCGTTAACCCCTCCACCATGCTGTGCTGGGGGGCAGAGCCCAGCAAGGCAAGAGTTAGGTATGAAGGAGAAGATGGAGTTTAAGCACAAACGTAACGACAAGAATCCACACAAGGTGAGTCTGAGGACTGAAAGGGGAATCACATGGAGCAAAGGAGGGACCCTCCCCTTTCTTATTTTCTATCCCATTGCAAATAATATCCCCTTCCTCCTCCCCTCTGCCTGGCACTAACATAAGCATGCAACACAGCAGTAAGGAACAGATGCCTGCTAGCCCACACTGCACACAGCTGCAGTCAGTGTGCCCGGGGGCTGGCAGTGTCCAGGCTGCACACACGAGTCACCCAGGGAAACAAGGCTCTTGAAAGGATTAATGGTGAGATAGGGTCCTGTGGCTGCAAAAAAGGAGACTGTGGTTGATCATCTGCTCCCAGCTGAAGGGAGAGGAGAACAAGCCTTTCGTTTGTCCCGGTTCTTCTCTTCCTCCTCTTCAGAGATTGCCATTACCACTGCTTCTGGAGTGGGGGAGGAGATGGGGCAGGGGGGCTGCACTTGGTGGCTCAGATTCATCTCTCAGGAAGCAGGACGAAGAAGATAGCCTTGAGGAAGTGACCAAAGCTGCAAACAGCGGCCACAAGCCAGTGGGAGCGAAGGCTGGGGTCACTATTCACCACGCATTTTGTGATGTCTGCCTAACGAGGAGAGAACAGAGATCGTCAGAGAGAGACGCCCAGAACAGAACGGCGTCAGCCACGGCTGCGGCTCTCCTGGCCCCACAACCCACAGCACCCTGCCACCCCTGCTGCTGCACCGCTTTGCCACGCTGCCGACAGCCACGAAGGCTTGGTTTGACGCTTCCGCCCCCTGCAAGTTATTAAATCACGCTCAAGAGCTCTGTGAAACACACTTCCTTCGTTCTGCATCAACAAGGTGAAGCGTCCGCCTTTTTGGCCACCCCTGGGGAAAGAAACCCTACAGGAAGATCGTCGAGCGTTTTCCATTTTGAATAGCTAAATAAAAGAAACTTTCTTCCCTTTTTGAAAAGAGCTAGGAAGCCTTGGCAATATCAGCCTTCTCATCCTTTTCTGTAAAGCAAGATGCTTCCCAGAGGTTGTCCTGTTTAGTATCAGCTCAAGTTGCTTGCACTTTTTCCCTTGCTTTAATGTTTTATTTGGAATTCATTCAAGCAAGCCAACCCCCAATTTAAATCTAAAGCAATGCAAGCTTTGTTTGTGGAAATATGTGTGCTGGCAGAGATGCCTCCCAGACGCGTGGGCCAGATTTAAAGATCCCTTGGGCAGCTGGTTTCAAGTATTAACAGGAATAGAAGCTGGCCTGCAATGAATAAAAGAATAGCAACAATCCAGCAAATTCATGAAGACAGGATCTCAGCTGGCATCGGGAGGAGGAGGTGGAAAATATCTGGAGGGTAAAGCAAACAGGACAGAGGTAGATAGAAAATTGCATCTTCTGGTGGGGGAAACAAAGTTCTGCCAGCAATATAATTGAGTTTGTGGTTAAACTTCAGCCTAATACAAGGAGATGTAGACTGTAGTTCTGTAACGGAAGGTGCACCATTAGCACATCAACTCGATGCGGTTTTCAGAAATGGCTGTTGGGTGGCAAATGTGAACAAGAATCAGGTCACAAGGAGGGCAAGTATTCATCAGCCCCAAAAGCTTTTTCTTTACAAGCTTAGCTCAGCAGTCTTTCAAGTTTGCCTTCTGACACAAATCTCTCTTTGACCAAGCAGAGGGAAATCAGACTCTCAGCCCTGAGATGTTCCTCCCATAAAACAGGACACAAGAGCTGATACTCCAATAATCTTTTCCAGTATCTCTGCCTGTGTTCAAGACATGGGCGAGCCTCGCCTGACCAGCCTTGGTAATAATTAGAAGAAAACAAAAGGGGGACTGAAGGGACAAATTGCTGTGTGTGGTTAGTGAGCACAGCCACACCAACCAGCTCCACCATCATCTACAGACCAAAGGCCGTTGGCAGCCTCCCACGCAGTTCCAGCAGTTCCTCCCTCGCAGAGAAGTCTGAAAGGCTGGCACTGCTGTTCTCTGGGGGGCATTAGGAGATGCTAAGCCCACGAATAACTGACAAGTAGAGACTGCAGGAGGAATGAACACAGGCTTGCAGGGATGGGAAGAAACAGGATGACAGGAGGAAGCTGAATCAGCACATGGGGTGCTCCTGAGGGAAGGTGTGGAAATGTTGCTGCCTGTAGCAGCAACAAGCACAGGCAAATGTAGCAAGCAGCCAAGATAGCACATAACAGAAGATGCTGCAACGTAGCACCAGCGGTTACAGGTACTTTATCTGTATTGTGTAGGAAAGTAAAATGGGTCTGCCTAAATGCTTTCAGTGATGGCTTAGCAAATTCACCCTATTTATATATGAAAAAAGTCTGAACTGATTCAGCCTGTCTAATTTTAGGGACCAGCACGTCCCTAAAACACAGTTGTGTCAGGCTGTCTCTTTAGTCAAGACAAGTCATGACGTGCAAGTACCCGTCTGAACACGTATTCCAATGGTAGGGTAGCTGATCAGTAAGAAACCTAAGCTCTGAAGGGCTTTAGTGCCTCCTGTGAACCAGTGTAAGGCCCAAATATGCACACCGGGTTGAATAGAGCTGCAGGGGGTTCACTTCCAGACGAGGCAGTGTGAACTCAAAGCTGTGCTGTACCCTACCAAAGGCAGGGATCTCACTGCAGCTAAGCAAGAGGAGCTGCAGTCAGGAGCACGTACAAATTTCTAAGGTGCTTGCTTAGATAAATAAAATTACTCAGCTGTTTAACAATTGCCCTAGCTATTATTAGTCAATTAAAGCATACCTAATAAGGCACTAGAATTGAAAATTTCAAAGCTCCTTAATAAAACAGGTCTTTGAGTCTTGTGAGGTACCGAAACTATTGCAATGCCAGTTTGATCTTCGCCTGTTAATTATTCCATCAAGTTCAAGTCGCGCGTTCTTCTTTGTGGCAAATGTATGTAAAAAAATATTGAAAAAAAAATCTCTCTATTCTACTGCAAAGCCACTACTGAGGTTGCAAACTCTCCCCAGGGAGAGATGATGCCTCAAAGAATTCAACATCTCGTTTCTCCTAGGAGGCTTGTTTTGGGTTGGGCTTTGGTGTAGGGGAAGGGTGTAATCCTGTGGAAGCAGTATGGGAATCTACTGCTGAGTGGAGACTTTCAAACGCCTTTCCAAGGTCTCCACAGTGGCTTTTCTGAAATAGCTTGGAGCACGGTGGTTCCTCTTGGCAGCCTCAACCTGAGTCGATGTGTAAGAGACGGGGCCATGTGCACAGGGGAAACAAGGACCCTGTGCCAAGACAAACTAACAACCAGCTAGGTCAGGCAGCAGATGAAAGGGTCCCCACTACAGAGCTGTTTCATCTGGCCCATTTGTGAACACGGCTGGGAAATTTCACGCTGCAGTGCCCAGATCAAGAGGAAGAACATTCAGGGAAGCACAGTATAAGATGACAAGAGGATCAGCAGCCTTTCCCCAGACCGAAGGAACCAGTCATTTCTAGAGGGAAAATATCTCCTTGTTGCAGCCCAACATTGCTGATAAGGGTACTGGAGACAGGCTGTAATCAGCACAACCCAGCAGCTTTTACAGTCATTTTGTTTGATTGGGAGCAGTGAGATTGGCTTCCCTTCTTCAGGCCAGATCCCACGAGCAAGCAGAATAGGTTCAGCAACTCCAATAGAAGTGTGCTGGCCATCCAAAGGGGGATGATTGGCAGAAGGTGCTAGCAGCGGTTAGGATTTATCTCCTTAGCTGCAAAGAACCACTTCTGGTCTGGGGTTGGGTTTCGTGGCTTGTTTGCTGTGCAACAAACTTTCCAAAAATATCTGTTTAGAACTATCAAAGAACCCTGTTTTGACCTCTAATAATGTAATACAAAATTTAAAAACAAGATGCTAACTTATGAGAGCATTCATATTTTACCAAAACAAAGAAAAAAATTAGCTGAAAACTAGGAGGAGACGCATTCCTATGCAACTTTTCAATTTTAATAAAACTTGATTTTTTCCAAAGGAAAAATAGTTTCAGAGAATACATTTCAACCAGCCCTACAGGTACCCAGTCAAAGTAAGCCTCAAATGATACCGGGGCAGGGATTTCACAGGCAGGAACAGTGCTATTTAATCAGTCACTTTCCCAGGATATCCTCTTCGCCTACCTCGGCACAATTATTTGTGCGGATGCAAAATGAAACAGATCAAGGCATTCAACTCAAAGGTTACTTTTCAGCCCAACTAAATAGTTCCCTGACTCAGTTGGCCTGAAGGTCACACAGTTTTAGAGAGGGCCGGGATGATTTTAAGGTGGCAGTGACACTGAGCAAACGTAAGGCATCCAAAGATCAGAATAACGTTACATTTCCAGTTGCCCTTCCTCAAAAAGATGCCATCACTCCTAGAGAAATTAGGTGACTGGATCAGCTATGTGCACATTTGGGAAGTCTCAGCACGGAGGAGCAATGCTCAGTTTGGAAAAAGACATGTCCCTCTCCCCGGGTCCGTGCAGGGTGGGGAGCCTGACCATTTCCTGATGGCTCAGGAATAAATATCACCTTTTGGAAAAGAGGGAATTTCCTGCTGTGGCTCAGTCTGGAAAGAGTGCATGCCTTGGGAATAAGATGTCCCATGAGCTCAGCGGTGTCATATGGCAATATTTAGCTCCAGGCAGCATCTGTCAGGCAGTACACCAAAGTGCTTTTGTCTGTATCGCTCCAAGGAGTGTCTATAGCCCTGCCAGAAAGGCACGGAGCCCCTGGTACATATGCACATCACCCAGCTGCCAGCTGCTAACATAGCCAGCCAGCCATCTCGGTGTCCTGGGGAGGTCACTAGAAAGGTGGCTGGCTATTCCACAGCACCGAAGTAAGGCTCATTCTGAGCTATCCTCCACGGGAGCATTGTAGTTCCTGTCTGGCAGAGAGAGAACTGAAGAAACCAGACGCTTAAAGCCATATGATACAGAGCCACACTCCAATGCAGAGCAGCACCACGCTTTACACACAGTCTCAGAGCAGGCCAGTGGCAGAGCGATGAGCCTTCCCACTGTTGATGGGTTTGTGAGAGCCCTTCAAAGCGTAAGTGTGCTACAGTTTGAGCTACATCAGAAGATACTCATGGAGGTATCGTCGGGATCAGGTCAGGGAATGGCACAAACTACCAGGTTTTAATATCCCTCTAAATTTCCTTACAGCGGCAAGTCACGTTAATATGCTAAGCTTTGACTTGGGGAACTATAGGGCAGGTCAAAGGGGAATTAAGTTGGCAGGCCTAATTTTTTTCAGTTTCTAGAAAACAGCTGCCCAAGAGAATGACCCCTATTTACAGTCTCCCGCAATGACTGGCTGGCAGCTTCAGAGATGCTCAGGTCAGGAACAGAAGAGGCCCTATTGAATTAGTCTGGCACAGCTATGGAGGAAGCTGAGCACCAGAATAGCTGATGTTGTCGAGGACAGGACCACAAGGCAGTAGCAGAGCTATGTGGAGCCTAGCACACGTGTAAGCAGGACAGGGCTGCGGAAGAGAATCTCGTTCAACATTTTTCTGCATGATGTTGCAGTGGGGGCACTCTCACATTCATTCACTGGGATATTTTCTGGTCTGCACGTGTGGGAGCAAGCTTGATGAGACAGCATCTCTTACCCAGCCTCCTCTCCTTTTCAGCCATGCCACCAAGGTCTTGCGGACAAACTCTCCCAGGCAGTCTACGATGGTGTGAACCATGGCCGGCTGTGCATGCCGCACACAGTCCACTGCCAGCCCCGCTGCCACAGCATAGAGAGACACCACCTTGCCCCACGTTATGCCTATGAAGAGAAGAAAGGTCGTTCAGATTTACACAGGCACACACAGCCCCTTCTTGCATAATCAAAGGAAACAGCTCTCCTTCATTACGTAGGCCCACGCTGCATGCACGCAGCTCTGAGTTCAGGTGCAGCCACGGCTGTGCATGCCTGCCACCACGGGGGAAAGTAATACTAGGGGACCAGGATTGGGGAAAACTCTCCACCTGGAGAAGCAGAACTAAATAATCTGACTTGGGCATACTTTGACCCCCTGTCAGCACTGGGTGGACACCTTTGGAGAAAGCAGCCCAAAAGCAACGTCAAAAAAGGGAAGATGTGTGTGGCTGAGAGTTAATGGCAACATAAACCATGGTGGTGCACATGCTGCACAGGAGGTGATTGAATTCAAAGAGTTTGAGCAACATGGGGTTTTTGTCACCCGCACAGCTCTTAAACACCCTTAACATCCTTGACAAAGCATTCCTGTTTCTTTCTAGATCAGAGGAGACCGTTCCAATGTGACACGCAAAGTACATATGAGACAAGCATCTTCAGTCAGTTCTACCATGACAGAAGAGCAAAGTAAGGAGACAAAGCTACAGGGCCAAGAGGGTTGGCTTTCTCCTCGATATAAGGAGTACACCTCAGGCTCCACCTGAAAACCAGGTAGATTCAAGAGTTTTGTCACTCTGCCTTCAATACTTAACATTGCATATCCTATCCCACTGAAGGCAGTACAGGGACAGAGTGTCAGTCAGTTATCTAATCTCCCAGAAAACAGCCTTCCTGCTAGGCTGACCTGCCAATATCAAATGCTCCATGGAAGCTATCCCAGCAGCAGTCATCTTCCTGTTAGTGCTAGCAATAAATGCTCAAGTTCAGTTCTGAGTACCAGCCAACCTCCCCGGGTCTCCCCCGCGCTTTACCAACACCACTGGGCATAAATCCTCCATGCTTAAACATTGCAGCCAGCAGTCCCTCATCAGGCTTTCATCAGGACCAGTGACCTGGAAATGCAACCCTTCTGCACCCATGCAGAAGAACTACCACAGCACATGGTAGCGCGCACATGGATTTCTTTTGGATCCGCTAGAGAGCTGAATTCCCCCCTCCTTACTTTATTATTTGCAATAGCAGTATTTGACAAACACACTGTGAAGTATTTTACAGTGTTAGGTCTCCATGGAATCTGTTCAACGTCTTTTCCAAATGTAGCCAGAAGCCAGGTGAAGTTTCAGCATTTAAAAAACACACAAAACTGTTCTTGCTGGGTCACAACAGGAAAGAAAACAGGTGAGAGGAAGGAAAGATCACCTCAGTCACTAGATCTAATGACAGAGAAGGTCCTTAAACACAAGATTGGAAAACTGGGAGTGCTCAGCAATCTATCAGCTAAGAAAGCAAACCTTTAAATACAAATTAAATTAAGAGTCTCCCTCTTCACAGCACTCCCAGATCCTCAGGCACCCTGACCCATCTCTTTGGGATGGATCTCCAGACTCCTCATGCCTACTCACACTGCAGCAGAGCTCTCCACATTCCTTTACAATACATGCAGGTTTCAGAGCATTCCTTCCCACTAAGTGCCTCAAAAGGGACACTCACACTAACGCTTTTAGAAATTGCTTGCTTCTTTTTTTTTTTTTTTTCTCTAAATAAAAAAAATACTAAACTTTAGAGAAAGTGTTGAAATGTCAGCCACAGGAATGGCTTGTTAGACTGGAGAAAATCCAGAGTTCCAAAAAAGCCATTTTTCACTTGTGACTGACGTAAGGTCAAAATCTACAGATGACTCTTTTGTGAGGCTCTGTAGCAACAGTAACAGCAGTAGCTGAGAGTCTCCTGTGATACTCTATCCTTCACCAGCACTATCTCCGAGATCAGATGAAGTTATTAATATAGCTAAATTGGCTGTTACTTTGATTTAATCTTCTAAGCAGACCTTGTGGTGTCCCTTCCCCAGAGCTGTCACTCAGGAAGTTCACTGCCTGTGTGGTATTCACACAATTTATCTGTCTTTCTCACATTGCGTATCACCATGACAGCCAGCAGAATGAGCCAGAAAGAGGCTATGAAACCACATGAGAAAATACTAGACAGAGGACTTCTCCTGGCAAGGAAGGGGCTGTCCTGTTGCAGGTTAATACCTCTCCACCCCGTGAAAGAGGCTTTAAGGGGTTAACTCTTGCTGACCACAACCTCCTGGGCCAGAGCCTCAGCTGGCTTATACGTAGTTTTTAAGCGTAAGTCGCTTTTTACGGTTCTCCAACCATGCAGAAATGTGTCTCCTTGCATCTTGAGTTACATGAACCACAGTTACCTAAAATTCCAGGGAAAGGTTCACTGGCTTATTCCCAAGTTTTTACTGACAGCACTCTTTCTTAAATATCTGAAGCAGGTCCATTAGCTTTGAGATATTTACAGGGCAGTAACTAAAGACTGACAGGGGGCTGAGGCCACCCTGGTAGAGAAAGACAGCTACAGTCTTGATTAACTTTGTTTTAAACCCAAGTTCCTCTTTCCGACAGAAGAAAAGTGTATCCACAACCTATGAAAGATAAAGGCTTAACTGACTCATGTTTCCCCTAATACACGGGAAAGCAGTTTGCTGTACTGACATTGCAGTCTCGAGGTCTCCTCCTGGGGAGGATGGAGAGAAAGCCCTGCAGCTCTGGCTTCCCTGCCAAGGTTGCAACACAGTGGTGCTTGCTGCAGGACTTGCACGAGGTGAACGCTTCCCCAGCGCAGGGACAGAGCCCTTTTCCCTTTCACACGGACAGCAGAAAGAGGGCAGGCTGTTGGCTGACATTTATTGTGGTGATGGATGTGAAGGGCTCAGTGGTTGCTTCCCATTATCCTCCCCTTTACAGAGCATGCCTGTAAGGGTCAAACCAATCCTTCAGTCTGCTTTTCCTGTTACCAGCAGAGCTGGGTCATGGGGGGTGGGAGAGAGAGGAGGAATTCCCCTCCTGATTTCTCTGCATGGAAACTGCTGTTGCCACTGCTGGAGGCAGAAGATGGAGACTGCTGGCTGGGCTGCTCACCCGAGACAGCAGGGCACAGCTCACACTCTTGTTTGCACGAGATGTAGGGGAGCCCTGAAGTGAGGGAAGAGCAGACACCTCTAACAGCTGCTCTAGACCAAAGCTGGGCCATGCCTCTGGCCGGTCCTTATGCCCCAGGAGAGCTCCAGCAGCTGCCCAGCCCCAGGCAGGGGAACAGGCCACAGCAGCCCCCATCTGTACTTTTCCAGGATACCAGCTGCACTAACTTTTCTCTCTCAAGGAGTCCCTTTGGCAGGGGTAGAGGAGCATTATCTACTGAGAGGGCACAGTGCCTCTGCCCCCTGTGATGTGCAGGACAGGGTCAGGGTGACACTGGCTTGATACATCCCTCCTCATAAGCTGGAATTGTATCTGGCCAGTGCACATGGGCAAAGAAGACACATTGTCTTGCAAATTCCTCAAAAGGTCTGGCTGCCATCCACATTGGGTGAAACAGGCACTCATCACCAAGAGAGACAATCTATTCACAGCTTCCCACTGTGCAGACTAGCATGCACAGGAGCTAACGACAAGCAGGAATGGAAAACTGGTCCAGAAAGGAGTGATAAAACAGAGAAATCTCTGAAACTTCTGCTTACAGAGATGGAACAAGAGGAGACGGAAAAAAAGTGAAAAGCTGCTTAGAAGGCATTTTAACAAATAAGAAATACAAGTTTCAGACTCAAGGCCACTCATGGAGCTGAAGGTATGTAAACACTGGCGAGCCCAGGGGAAAAATGAATTAGCAGGAGAGGACTGCTCTTGAAAGTGTTCCCGCTGCATTTCAGCTTGCCTGCCCCAAGGGAGAGCTCAAGAAGCCATGAGACACGACTGTGCAGAGTCTCAGAGCACCACACTATCCGAGGTTACTTAAATAAACTTCCCTCTTCTCCACTCAGCATCAAAGCCCAGCTTGCAAATCAGACCTAAGAAAAACATGATCAAGTGCTACATTTCAACAGCTGAGAGAATACAGCCAGACACGATATACTTTCCTCTGCTGGAGAGAAAGAAACCAAGAAGGACGTGCACAAGGCAGGAAGCTCAATTCATAAGGCCTAAGCAATGAGGAAGCAGTGGGATGCATTTCTAACAGCGTTTGCTCCTGCAGGGGAAAGTATTTCTCCTGAGAACCCATGAACCATGCATCCCTGTTGTACAGGGTTCACTTCAGCCCAAGCACTCTTGATTAAAAACTGCCTAACCCCTAAAACAATACAAAACCAGGATGAAAGCTTTTAGAGAGCCCTCATGCCTAGCAGCTCTTACCAAGTGGAGGAAACTGTTTCCTTTAGGAAAGGAAAATGCATCTCCCTTTTCTTCTTCTGTTTTTCCACCAAGTGACCCCTTCCTTCTGGGATTTATTTAAACTGCTAATGTAAATGCCAGCTCAGCCAGGCCCCAATCCAAAGCCTGTTAAAGTCAGTGGAAAGTCTCCTGCTGGCTGCAGAGCAGCTTTGGACCACACACCAGAACCAGTGGTATTGTCACAGAGCTGATGCTGCTGCAGATCCTTCAACATTCAAAACAGGTCAGGGGTCTGCGGTGCCAGTCTCCACACAGATGGGCTCTCCTCACCCTGAATAACTAACAAGTTGTATGGAAACAGGGAAGCAAAATACAGCTTGAGCCTTACCATGCTCTCTGATCTGCTCACCTTCTGCCTACATTCTCAGCTGCTAAGCTTGCTGTAAATTGGGATTCAAGCTGTCCTTGCTACCCCAGAGAAAAGCCAAACCTGAGTTAACTGGAACAGACAATGCTCTAAAGTCAAATATGGCACAATGTACCCATGCAGTGGGACCAACGAGGATGCCAGATGTCCTCAGTCTTGCCTTCTTGAGAGGTCCATCTAGGGCTTGTGCTTAGTCAAGACTTGTAGATGGTGTGGACAGGAAGTGAGCACAGCCAGAACTACAGTGTGAAAACTCAAAGCCAGAGCAGGCTGTGGAAGAAGGCCATGTAAAAGATTAAGGAGAAAACCTGTCCAGCAAGATAGGGTAAAAATTCCCCGTTCCCTTGCTGGAAAGGCATTGCAAGTGACTAATGGGGCTCCCCAGACTGTCCAGGCACTGCCGTGTACAGCTGTAGCTGTTTTCTTAATAAACTAGACAGTGAAAAACAGGCTGAGATGCTTTAGCTGTTGGTAATTGGCATGAAAACTCAGACTGCCCTTGAGTCTCTGGTTTCCTCTGCTCAATAAGAGCCTCTTTCCTCTGAACTATGAAAAAAAGAAAAAAAGGAATGAATGTCTGGCTGCCACAGCCAACTCTGATTTGCTGCATTTAGCATTAAATGCGGAGTCTTGAAACTGCAGTTGGGATCCAGGAATGTTAAAAATCAGCAAACTCCCCCCTCTCTGCCACTCAGCAGCCTTCTATCGAGAGAAATTACAATAATGAACTGATAAGAGCAATTGAATACACAACCCCAGCTTCATGCTCAGAGGTTATCCTGTTAGTTGCTCTGAGGCAGAAGTGAGAAAGAATTAAAAACAGAGCATACAGGCACCAGGAAGGTTTGAATCCACCCCCTGTGCAGACAGCCAACTGTGTGAAGTGACGCATGGTTTTCCCCAGATGAGAGGCAGCACTAGCAACAGAGCTTGAACCTGGGCTTCTACTATGTTCCCAAAGTGTCTAGCATTGCCAGACTCAAAGGGCTGAGTCCAGATCCCAATTCTTACTCCACTGAAAACCCCAAGTTTAGAACCAAGAGTTACAATTTCCAGCTTTACTTTCAAAAAAAGCATTTTAAACCATCCACGCTTTTCACTTGACTCTTGAGCTGAGAAGTTGAAGAACATCAAAAAACCGCAGCTCTCAATGAATCTGTCAGTGTACGATGGTGAGAGCAGGACTCCCAGAAACCAGCAGGGCTTTCCCCCCAGCATCATCTTTATGCAGCACAGCAGCATGCACAGTCTGCTCCACCTGCAGCCATCCACCTTTCTGGCTTAACTCCCTGTGTCACTTCAGCTTTGGAAGTGGGCCAGTTCTGATGTAGCCAGCTATAGTTGTCTAAGAAGATAATCTATTTAGCTGCAATGCAAAAACATGAGCCTGCAAACTTGACCTTCGTTTTTCTGTAAGCCTTGATACAAGTAAAGCTCAGCACTAAGGGACAAGGCAGGACACCTGCACTTTGAACACAGCCACACTCAGACATTCTTGCCATATTTGCCTAGCTCTTGCTTTCTGAGCCCATATGGCTGCCCCAGCCAGCCCAGTGTAAAGGTAATCTTCATTCCAGACATACTTCTGAAAGGATGCCTAGGGCTACAGTACTAGCCACGGAATTCAATTCCATCCATTTCCTATGACAGAGCATCAGTTTCCCTGATCCAGGGTGTAAATCTGCCCTGCTCAACCTGCCTGGAGCCCTGCTTGAGCAGTCCCTCTCAGAGATCTATTTTATCACCTGTTGTGATTCAGGAGAGGATCTGTGCTCTCCACCACAACACATTTTAGATCTGAAGTCCAGGATGTCAGCACAGAGCTTCTCCAGGGTGTCAGTGGTTCCCATGCAGTTCATGCGCATAAAGAAGCGTAGCTGACTGTGAACATAAAAAGGTTTTGCGTGAGGAAGCCTATTTGAAAGTACAACAGAAGCCTGAGCTTTTATCCTGTAACAACTACTCCCAAAGTAACAAGAATCACTGCTCCTGTGACATGTCCCACGTCAATGTCACTGGATCCAATGCTTTCACACTACTACGCTGCTGGCAAGGAGCTGTCTTTTTTTTTGGTTGGTTGGTTGGTTTGGTTTGGTCTGTTTCCACTCTCTAACATCTACTGTCTTTTCTACAGACAAAACAACAAGACATTGCAGAAAACCTATAACTGTGTCAGGACTTGCCTGACATAAATCTCCATGAAAAACACAAAACATTTCTCTTCCCTTGATTCCCACAGACTGCATTCCCGATCGCAGGCAGGGACTGTTTTCAGGGGTGGCTGAGGTTCCCTTGCAAGAACACAGCACAGAGCAGAGTGTATCTTTGCTTTTGACAATCACCTCTGGGACCAGTCAAACAGAAGAACTAAGCCTTGCGAAAGCTCAAAGCACCTACTCGTCCGCAACAGCTAGCCTTGAGGGCTGAGACTCTCTGAGTATGAGAAAGGAGAAGCAGCAACTGGAAGCAGCAGGCTCCATTGCAGTTCTGGCTATTGCTGTGAGAAAGGAAGCCAGAAATAGAGGAACTCCCTTGTGATGAGTTGGTTCTGGCTCCTAGCATCAGCAGCATGAGCTGGAACAAGGGAGACTCCCATGTAATGAACCTTCTCCAGTTGCCAATAGTGAGCAAAGGAGCTTGGAATGAGTGACCTCCCAGTGCAATGAGGTAACACCACCTCTTGACAAGGAAGGGCAGGAGATGCCTTCTAGAATGAGCGAGAACCTGCCAGGAGGACATAATAAAACAAGGCATTTCCCTGCCAGAACAACAGAGCATAGAGGAGCTCTCATTAAATCATTAAAGCAGGGCACACTGCCAACCTGCCCACAGCCCTTTCAGAAACCAGGCCCCACCTCGCAGGCTATCACAGAAACATGCCTTCTCTGAGAGAAGTGGCTCCATCCTGTTCCTCTCTGCCCAGCTCTGTCTGCGTATCTGTCAGGGCACAGTACCTGCAGTGAAGATCTGCGCAGCTACTGCCAGGAAGGCATCCGTCACCACCGTCTCCGAGTGCAGCGAGATGTTCAACTGGCGGGCGATATTCCGGTAGACGTTGGGGCGAATGTATTCCAGCTCATCTCCTGAAAACAAACCGTCAGGAGTCAGCGTGAAGAACACCAAGTCCTGATCTCACCGTGTAGAAATTATACCTGGGGCCACCCCACATATCCCTTCAGCCAGAGAAACTTAACCCCAGCTACACCTTAGTTTAAACAGGGAGAAGAGTGCTTAGGGTCATTTAGATGCAACCCTCTGCTACACCCTGCTTTCCTAATATCCTAATATCCTCTGTGCCTGGGACTTCTAAAGGGAGTGGGGACAGGCAGTGGCCTCGTACCAGTGGTGTGGCTGCAGTAATCTCCGATATAAATGATGTTCCCAGGATGCCTGCCTTTCCTCTGACACAGGAGACAGACCTCAGATAAGCAAAGCCATCTCATTTTTCTTCATAATTGAAAAGGAGGCATGTACATCTAAGTAAGGTTTTGAAAGATATGCCCTTTCTCAACACCCCATCGGACTTGTACAAAAAAGCTTCAAGATGAGAGCAACTCAAGAATGCTGGAGGCTGATGAAAGCCAAGGATCCACCCAGAGCCACACAACATTAATTGAGCAAAGAGACTATCAGCTCAGCTATTTTACACTCACACAGGCAACTGATTGATGATCTGGAGTTGTTTCTCTCCTCCAAACGGTTAAAGAGATGTTAGTTTGCCTGGCTGACCCCTCAGCAACAGGGTTCCTGACACACGCACACAGACACGAGCTCTCACTTCTAGGTTGTTTTCTCCCCAGCTGTGAAATAGTTGAAGGTGTTAGGCTAGCTTGAAGATCAACGTGGAAACACCAGGGACAAGCAGAGAATCTCCTCCCACACACAGGTTTGTGCTATGGAACTTGAGCAACAGCAGTAAAGCTTTTCCTCTGTAGCAAAACAAACAATTTCTGAGCAGTACAATTAATAAAGCCCAGTTTCCAATGGATTTCTCTCTCTGTAGAGGTTCACAGATAGTTAATGAGGGTCGCAAAGCTGCTGTAGGAGCACTACACAATGCAGACATTGCATGGGACCAAGGCCCTTTGGGCATGGAGAGTCCTATCGGGTTCAGTTTTAGCAGGACAGTCTGTTCTTCTCCTGCACAAGGGTGCTCTGGAGCACCCAGGGGAAGAGGAGAGCTGTCACAACAGTTTTACAACCCACCGAAAGACCCAGATGACTTAGTCAGAGAGCAACTGACCCTCCTGAAAATTTCATTTAGATGGGGACTGAAAAAGAAGATGACACCCCAGTCAGGAGCTTGTTATAGAGTCATTAGCTGGCCACGGGCACTCAGCACAGCAGAGGCAAAGCCCTGCTCTACAGAATTCCACAAACAAGTTCTCCAGGCCCTTTGTGTGTGTGGGATTGTCCCACACAATCTGATGGCAAGAGGAAACCCTGCCAACACATGGTCAGCCCTGATATGAGAAAACATTACTTGCACTACTCAACAGCTGTTTTCTCCTTGCAGGGAGCACACAGGCTTCCCTGTAAGTGTGCAGAACTGGGGATAGCCCTGCCCGTGGTTAGCAGAGAAGGAGGCTTGGGGAGCTGGGATCAGCGCTTGGTAGCCTGCCCTTGTGACAGCTTTTAAACAAGCAGTACCTGGAGGCCCCAGATGAGATCATGTTTTGGTTGGAGGCACACATGCTGCTAAAGTGGGCCCTGCCCTGCAGCAATGCACAGGGAAGACAAGAGCGCTGGGGAAAGCACAGTCCTAAGCTCATGGAGGCTCCCTGTCCTGGCATCCTCAGACCGACTCCAGCAGCACATGACATTGGTGAAAGTTTTTGGTGTCCATGTTCAGATGCCCGACTACATACTTTGCAACCTTGAGAGCAATTTCTGTGCTCCTCCTCCTTCCTCCAGTAATCCTGGAGGAGTAAGGAGGGCAGCAGTGACAGTTCCCACATGCAGAAGCTCAGTGCAGAGGTGAAATGGCACTTACCTGGGTCTTGGCCGCAGAAGAGACAAGTTCAGATAAACCAGACCTCTGACACATATGGCAGGTTGGTCTGGGGTGTCTCATTTGGCCATATCATTACGTTTTGCCACCTCTGACTCATTAATTGCACTAATTAGCTGCTAAGCCTCACTGAGCTGATGGGCTCTGGCTCCCTAAGGCTGTAATTGCATTGCCTGTGCTGACCCACCAGCCAGTTCCTCAGACACACTACATGCAAGAGGGCTAGGAAATACTCCAACTTCTCATCTTCACAGGCTTCTCAGCACTAACATGGAGAAAAATCTGGTCTGGCCTGCCACACTACTTAGTAACCAGGTAAGGACTACTGTTGCTGGCAGGTGGCTGGATACCACTCAGCCTTGTACTGGTTATAGCAGCAAAGGGGAAAACAAAGGGACAGGCCATGTGGCAGGCAGAGTTTCTGAACAAACAGGATGGACACAACTCTTCATCCTAATAAGGAGGACTGCTCACACTTCTTGTTGCATGGGTACCACATGGTTGTCTCCAAACAGATTTGCTCGGAGAAGACGCCAAGTTCCTGGGACTATCAGCCAAATCTTTCCATCTGGACACAAATAAGTAACAGGAGAGTCATGCAGGAGATGCTTTCAGATCCAGTCTGCCACCTGCTTGCCCTTTAACATGCTCCTGGCCACCCACAGAAGATCTGGTTGAAAGCCAACAAATCTCAACCCCCCCCCCAACCCAGGCAGAGAAGAAATGGAGGACAAAGAGGCAGTGAGATTGGCAGAAGAAGAAAAAAAAAAAAAACAAAGACTGAGCAACTACTGGAAAGAAAAGTAGAATTCAAGTCAGCATAGGAGAGAAAAAGTGAAAAAGAATGAATAAAATAAAAAAAAAATCAGTTAAAAGAAACACAGCTATGTCTTAAAAAGAAATTTGGGATAATGTCAAACAATTAGAAAGAAAGGGGAGAAAGTGAGATCAGCCTGGTCCTGAGTTTGTTAGGCCCAGGTAAAGCTTACTTCACCAAACTTATTTGAACATTGGTGTAATTAAATCAGATGCAAATGCTAGTGGTAGTTTGCAAGCCAGATGTGAACTAATATACCAGCCTGCAGGCAAAGAGGGATGTTGAAAGCAACTTCCAAGAATGAGGGTGTCAGGATCCCAAAGGACAAATGGCTAGAATTGAGCACACAGGAGGCTAAAACGTAAAACAAAAGGCCAGGCAACTGTCAGCATTTAGAGGGTGTTCCTTGTACAAACACAATTCCAGAGCACGTGTTTATGTAGGACCTTACGGGCATAATCTTCAAATCACTCTCCCTGCAGCCCTGGTAGTCAGCTGGCCATGAGGGGGGTCTGGCTAGTTTGGGCACTGAATGGCAGTATATGCCAGGCAACATCAGCCAACTCCTTGCTCCAACAAAAAGCAAGAAAACTCATGTTCTGCTGAGTGATTAAGGTAGGCAAAGGAAAATTAAACACACTGTCAACACCTGGTCATTGAAAAGTGGCTTTTATAAAACCTCCAGTGGTCTAAGCAACCACCCCCAAATTAAACATCCTTGCAGGTGGGTGAGCAACTGGTGAAGCCCAAGTCTAGATGTAGCAGTACTCTACTAGATGCCAGCTTGCATCGTGTCGTGGCAGCCAAGTCACCTGCATCTGGAGAAAACACTGCAAGACCTGTTAAAATGCCAAGCTGAGAAAGACTACTGAAACTACTGTGGAAACCGTTACACAGTCTTATGCGGATAGAATTAGTCTGTTGTAGGGCTTTTTTGGACTGCATAAGCTTTTAACCTGTTAAAAGTCCTCAGAAAAAAGTAGCTCTGCAGAAACACTGTGCTGCGCAGTGCTCCAAGGGACTGAAGAAACGCAAGTAAAAGAGCTGCTCAGGGAAGATCACCAAAACCAAATCTAAATGCCCAAAGCAGAGAAGAAAAACCTCTGTATCATCACATAAAAAAGCCTCTTGGCACTCATCAGTTCCAGAAACCTTGGTCTGGTCTGAATTGCTCCATGTAGTTTCAGTTCCCTCCCATACCTGCAGGGACTTACCTAGTCGCAGCAGTATGGTGGACACCTCAGCCAGCTTACCACCAGGCACCGGTGCGTTATACTCAGGTTTGCTCCAGCTGACGCCCGCTCGAATTAGCCTCGAATTTATGTAGTCTCTGCAGAGAGCCTTGGCTTGGGACACAAGCTCCTTGTCAGTGGGAGACCTGTCAAAAACCTCCATCACCTCTGCAGCAAAGACTGAGGAACGGCGTAGCACTTCCATCCTTGGCTGCTGAACCTCAGCATACACTTGCTGGAAGGCCGAACCAACGCCTTAGATGAGAATCTTCAGGAGCTGTGTAGTAATCCTCTGGTCTCTTGGTTTGTCACAGCTCCCAGCAGTTATTCTCAAAAGGCCGGTTTTTCATTTTACCTGGTGAATAGAAGCATCTGTAAGTCCTCTAGCATTCCAAAGATGTAAACCAGAAGCCCAAATATTCTACCTTACAGTTAAGCTAAAGCCAGCAGTATCATATTTGCAAAATACCTGTCGCAGTGCACCTTACAGACAAGGGGCTAAGCCTTTTGTCTTTCAGCCACTCTGACTTTCACTGGCAGCATGACCCACAGAAGTGCTGCAGTTTTGAACTATTGAGGTGTTTCCACTTTTGCAGTTCAGATTTGGGCAGTCCTAGATTTATCCTTCAGAGAGACTAGATGGTCAGAGTGTGGAAACAATTCATAAAACGTGTAGACAATCTCAGCTTGTTTCAATTAAACTGGAAAAAACCTAAATCCCAAATACCAGCTACAGTAACCTCAACCAGATGTCAAAAGACATTCCAGCTCAGTAGGTCATGGATCTTTCTGAAGAAATGGCACTATCGCAAGAATAGGGATATGGGAGCATTTGAAATGTCTCAATGGAGACAGTTTACTACAATCTCAATTTAGGTTTTGGTCCCGCCACTCTTTTTCTTTTGACTTTTTCCAAAGCAACATGCATACTATTTATCGAAAACCTTTAGCAATAGCAGAAAGAGCAAAATAGAAAAGCAGATTTTAAAAAAGTGTTCAGGTGTGAATACCTAAAGAGAAAGTTCAAAATTTCTTCAGAGGCACCTGAACGCATCTGTTGATCTGACTTTTTAATCCAGTGCTGCTTTTGAAGTCAGTCAGACCAGTCTTTATTCAGATGTTAGCAAATGTATTTTCCAGTCCCCGGTTTTAGACATCTACTTACGATAACGATTTTCAAACAAAATAAAGCCAGTTATTCTTGTTTGTCCCAATTAAAACCATATTTACCTCTCGTGTTGCACTTTTTCCCCCTCAGTGATTTCTTTTGGGGTTTGGTTTCGTGTTGCTTTGGAAGATCAGCATCAATGAACACCGGGTTTAGGATTCATAGGATAGCATCACACCCCTCTGCACAGCACCAGCCTCCTCTGCCGGGCTCCCGCCAGCGCCTTCCTCCCCATTTCTGTCCGCCTCGCAAGCCGGCAGCGCTCCACCGGGATCCTCGGGGCTTGCTCTGCTGCTTTTAAGGGAGCCAGGCAGCAGAGGAAAGCTTCTAGCTTTAGCCTTGTAAGGAAGATGAAATAACCGGGAGGCGGGGTTGCTATAGCCGGAGAGCAACGTTTTCTCCTCCCCTTTCCTCTCTCTTAAGGACGTTCTCTGTGATTTTACTGCGGGCGCAGTGTCATCACTCAAGGACCCGTCTTCGGGGTGAGGGTAGGAGCATAATTTCTGGCCCAGGTTACCCCGTGTAACAGTCAGCGAGGAATACACTGCTGAAATAGGAAGAGCTCCTGGTGAAACCCCGCGGAGGATTTGGCAGAGTTGATGTTGGCCATTTTCAGATGGTAGCCAAGCTGGGGAGATGATGCAGGTTGTCAGACTTCAGTCCTACCAGTTCGGTCCAAAACAGTGGAAGTCATTAACAGAGAGAGCTACAGCTCAGGGCTAAAGCAAGCTGGGCTTGTGTTCCCCCAAAACTACAAGTAGTCTGGTTAAAAAAAAAAAAAAAGTGAAGTGGGTTTGCTGATAGGAAATAGTTTGTCCAGAATGAAGTGTTTTGCAGAAACATGTCCATCTCATCTCAGTGTGTTAAGAAAACTAACATATAAAGTTTAAGGAAAACATTTCAGTTAGTTCCAATGTGCTTAGAAATTAATTTCAACGTCAACTTCTTGTTGCAACATTATCGTATTGATGCCACAGTGCTCAACTTCTTTTCCGTGTGTGTGTGTGTGAGATACCGTTTCAACTCAATAGACTACATACAAATTTTTGGCTTTTTGTGTTATGATTGGAAACAAAAGAAGTTTTAGAAATAGAAGTTTCCTGCAGACAAGAAATTCTACCAGCCCAAACACAAATTATCCCCAACAAATAACAATTTGTAGATTAACAACTGGGTACATGGCATGTTCAAAATGCAGCCTTTCCAAGAGGAGGTCAGAAGCAAGAAATAAGGGTTGTTATCTCAAAATCCGAAATATCTGAAATAAAGGCTGTCACCTTTGAGAAAAAGACAGAGGCAAGGACACCTTTCCAAGGTGTTAATCACAAAATACCCCCCAGCACAACCTGCACCACTGCTGGTCTCAAAACTGAGGGATAGCAAGTAACAAATTAACTGCATGAAAAAGCCTTATTATATGATGCATCAAATACTCTGGCCAGCATCCAACACACAACTCATGCACAGGCTTAACACAGAGCATATGTTTTGGTCTGCCATTAACTGGATTGCTGGAGGCTGTTTTGCTGCATTGGGAAGGGGGCTGGGGAAAGCTTCTTCTCCCTCCCATGACAAAGACTCTTTCTGACCTGGATTCTTCTGGGAAAGGAACAGGGTTAGAGAGAGATACGTGTATGCAGTGGTAGTCAGCTGGGGACCCCAGCTTATCTTGATATGATTGTGTTAAGATGGCAAGAGTGATTGTATCTCCAGCACCAGAAGTATTTGCTCAAAGACACTCTCAGAAATTTTTTATACACTAGCCTTCTTCAAATTTAAATACAGTTACAATTTAAATTTAAAGACAGAGACCCATCCCACAGAAGCTGAAATCAAGACTCTAGAGATCCTGTGCTACTGCCCATCCCTAACCCTCCCCTTCTCTGCAGACTGCACCTGATGGTCTCTTGGAAGCCTTTGCAACTCTGATGGCTGAAAAATAACTAAAAATTATGTCTTAGCTTCCTGCAGTAGCTGACAGCTTGAAACAGTAGTCCTATTTAAACTGCCGGTATTCAGCAGGGCTCTGAAACAAAGATGAATGCTTAAATATCAGTGCTGCCTAACTAATGATAATGTTTCCCAGAATTCTGGCAAATATGCAATTGCCACAGTGCCTCCCAGCTCTCCGCAAGTGCCAAACCCATCCCACTTGTTCCCTGCCCGACTGTCACAGCATGCAGCACCCCCTCAACTTCTACCCTGCAGCAAAGACACAAAAACTTGAAACTTGAAGGCTGGGTATAACAAACCAAACTTTGCATTAAAAACCCCAACAGTGCATGGTATTCTACCTATATTATTTACACACTAAAAATACAGCTTCACACTGAAAGGTACCTCTATAAGTAAAAAGAGATTAAACCACAGCATACAGTGCTCAGCTGGCAGCAAATGAACTGGGTATTACACTTGAAGGAGCTGCCAGTGTAATCTGAGCCCCTTTTTCCATAGTATGTTTAGGCTACAACACTTAGAGGCTAGACCTATACTGGAAAAACCCTTGTGGCAAAGAAGTAACAGGGAAGAGTGCAGAAACAGCAAAACCACTGTTCCCAGTGTAGCTATTACTGGCATGACAGCGTTCTGGCTGGACCAACAGGATCCACACCACTGCTCCTACCTATCTTAGATGGGGTGACCAAAACAGCCTGGAGCATTCATTTAGTAAAACCAGGGAACCACAGAGATATGACTGTATTTTACAAGTATGTCAAGTGGAAACAAACCCTGGAGAAACCACATCAGCGAGAACACAGCAATAGTCTAAATGTGGACAGCTTATGCTCAATATTAAATACTTTAACCATTAGAGAAGCAAGTCTCTGGAAGGGCCTTTTAACAGTTGCGGTGGAAGTAAAATATCTAGCTCATTGTGAGCACACTAAGCTTATGAAAGGGTCTGCGTGATATGGTTTCATGCAATAGCACAAGAATAACCCCAAGTGCCCTAGGAGGTAATTTCCAGCCTTGTGTTTACACAGCCTGGTTTCTGCCTGAGGTATTGTTGTGTTTTACTTCACAGTGCCAATCCCAGCCACTTCACACAGCCTACAACGATTCCAGCAGAAACTGCACACTGTAACACATGGATCTGATGTTCTAAAACACCTGCAAAGGACTTAGAGAAACAGAGAGATGCCAGAGACACAGAGAGCCTGGGAACCAACCCCGCTAGCCCCTGCCTGCTACAAGAGGGTTTTATCTTCAGAGAGAAGGTGTTCTGGCAAAACACTGGCACTGTAACCAGACCAAAACCTTCTACCAAACCATCCCTGAGCCTTCTTCTGACCTATCTCACCCAGTTTTAACGTACTGTCTTCTCCCCACTGCCTCTTCCTGTTTGATTTTTGCAGCAATATTTCAATTCTGCTTTTGTGAAGTTATCACTTACCACTGCGAAAACACCTACAGTGTCAAGCTTTAGCTTGCAAAGCCATACAGGAAGAACAGGGAGCCTAGATGAAACACTTCTTTTTGTACAGAAATATTTTGCCAGCTGCAACAGGAAAATGATACGTGGAAATAGCAGTGTAATGAAACCCGAGCGAAATATTGAGGCTTTTTAAACATTTCTCTCATTTCTGAAGGGCTTGATTCAAAGCCTCCTGAAAGCCAAGCAGTTATTTATATTACTTGCATGATGGGATCACCCTGGAGCACTTTTTCTGGAGCAGGATTTTGCAGTGCCAAGTGTCACGTGCCAGACCAAAGAGGCTGTGTCACAGTGAACTTATCTTCCCCAGCCTTTAGACAGTTCTCCTCCGCAAGGATATGGGTCTAGTGACTTAAACGCATCAAGTATAACAACCAATCCATAGCTTTCTGACATAGATTAACACTGATATCCAATGCTTTTCTTCTCCTAACCTACTGCCATGGTCACTACCACTGTAGACACAACTTCCTTGCTGTACGTGTTTTGACACAGGTAGAACAAAGATACGTGTGCTCCAGAACCCATGTACAAACACACTGAAGGGAAACCTGTAGTGTGAATTTAACTTAGCAAGTAATGCTATGAGTTGAATCACAGAACATCTCTACCCGTGTTCCTGAATCTTATTCTGGATATGTTGCCCAAGAAGAATTTAACCAAACATTGCTACTCAGGTATGAAGCCAGCAGCTTCTAGCTAAATCTAAGACTTTGACGAGACTGCGTCATCAGTTTGAGAACCAAATTGAATAGATATAACTGTTTTGGTTGTTTCCTATCCTCTAATTTGCTAAAATGACACATTTTACTGAATGGATCATCTCATAAGCCAAGAAGGTGGCAGACATGAAGAAGAAATAAGCAGCTTTAAGTTCTTCAACAGCTGTAGCTTTGTTTTGAAACACAAATAAAAATATTTACATACTGTATCACCAAAATAGAAAAGGCAGAAAACATCCTAATGAGGTCACTATCCCCAAGAAAGAAAAGAGGACTCTTTCCTTTCAAGCTCTAACCCACAGAGGCAAAGAATGCACCTTTGTCTCATTCTAGCGATTGATCACCCACAGGGTTTGGGAAACCGTTCATGCTTACATGCAGGATCTGTACCTGTGGACAGGTGAAGACTGTCAGGTGCCTCTGCCTGCAGTGATCCTGAAATCTCAAGAGCCTGAAGTGGGTGCAGGCACTTCTGCACTGGTTCAGCAGCGTTTATGAGCTCTGACACATTTATCTGCTGCTTCGAGACACGTGCTGATGCACAGACATGTCCTACACAGCCAAATGGGTTGCTGGATCTGATAACCACGAGGCAGGACTCCATCCTGCACACATCTTCATGCCCTAAACAGGCCTCAAGGGATTTAGACTCAAATTTCGCATACCCAGAATGTAGCCCTACTTTTAATTAAACCCTGACTGACTTTCAGAAAGGCTTAGACTCTAGTGCTGGGCAGGACAGCAATTATGCTTTTAGAAAAACCCTGTCTTTTCAAGTTGTCAGACAAGGAGGGTAGGCTGATGTCTCTCTCTAGTCTGCACAGATGAAATTCGGAGCATGTGATTCCTTCATGTGCAGTTGGTTATGCCATGCAGCCTTTTGGCCATTAGGATACTGTTCCATCCTGACTGCCAGCAGTGTGCTTCTACATACTAGATACGCCCCAAGAGTTTGTAGAACTCCATGCTGACAAAAATTTTCTTCAAGACTGCTTTAGTTAACAATATTTACCCCTCTTATTCAGTGGGGCAGTCTAGAGCTGGTTTTTTCAGCAGCAAGGTCATCTAACGCAACCTTCACATCCAGCTGCTCATACCCATTCCCAAATTGTCCTTCCTAATTGCACTGCTATGAGTTTGTGTTTGCTGGTACTGTGCACTGGTTCAGGGAGCTGGCT